TGTTCAACATTGAGCTGAAAACAAACACACTGACTTGCCAATTCTTAAACCCCATTATTTAAACTAACATTGCCACCAAGAGGAGTCAAAAAATACAACAACTGGTTCCCGAAGCAAATTTGAAGCGTCATTTCCCATCACTATATTACAGTACACACAATCTCATTCACTCCAGCTTCATTCTCTGCTGCCATCGTTAATAATCCAAGGTGTCCTCATCATATACAGTCAGCAGTCATTTTTTTTCTTTTAGAATATTTGAAAAGAATGTACAGTACAGTATTTAATTTTATTTTGGGGGGGAGTACGAGTTTTCACCCATTTTCTGTTTATCAAATGTTTTTTCAGCATTTTTGGGAGAATTTTTAGGGTTTGTTTGTTACCATTTTTTCACAATACGGTACATTGATTGGAAATCAAGTATATTTTGGCTATCCACGGGCCGGGCCGGTCCCATTCCCCAGCGAAAGGTGGGGTTCTACTATACAGTAAATAAACAAGTTGTTTAAATGAAAAGTAGACTGGATGACTTTGTCTTTCTTTTGATCGGATCGGTAACTGTTTTTTTAAACTTGTTGATCACTGATTGGTGATTGGCTCCAAAAATACTGATCATGAAAAACCTCTTTGAAACATCCACTGGAGAGGGTTATGCCATTGAGTATGTAGTTTCTAATTCCCCCATGAATGCCCCATTTTACCGAATTAAGATCACCAAGCACAAAAATGTTCCAAACAATGAAATGAATAATGATGGGAATCTGACACGATGATAAATAAAGCCTCAAAGCTTCTCTGTAGCAGCTTTAGAGGCATTTAATGTGAGAGTTGGCATCTTTCTGGCATCGGGAATGATAAGCCTGGAAGAAGAATACAAAGAAAGGGAAAAAATACGCACAATGCAGTGTTGGCAGCTCCATCAATCATGTGCACACTTATTTAGAGCACGTAAACAGCAAACATCAATCTGTTGTTGACAAGCTCCTCATTAGGACAAGCCTGGTCTCTGTTTTTGTGCTGAGATCTCTTCTGCACGTGGTAGTGGCAGGCAGATAGAGAGGGAGCAAGTGGGAGAGCGGCAGTGGGGCAATAACGGCAAAATCAATTTCACACATGACTGCGTTCAGAAGAGATGAGTGGCAGCGGGCATCTTGATCTGTCTGTCAGCCTGCATGTTTCTCTCACTGGTGTGACAGCATCATCCCTCGTGTTAGACTAACAGATCGACTGGGGCCAACGACGACAACTACACGGATGAAGAAACAAGACACTCACCACATGTTGAGGATACACACACACACACACACACACACACACACACACGCACACACACACACACACACACACACACACACACACACACACACACACACTGTGACATTTAAATATCAGTTTAAGGTTAATGCGTCTCCCCAGCAGACGGATAAAACCCTCTTCATGTCATTGGGCTCGAGCCACATTTACAATGACAAAGCAAGCAGCCATGTGAGTGGAGCATTGAGTTTGGCTTCCAAGCAGTGCCCCTAATTTTTACAGCAGTTACAAAATGGACTTAAAATCTTTCAATCTGAC